TTTATGATTGCATCATTAGTGCTTTTATTTTTCCTGAATCCAAATTGGCAGGGGTTGAGTATGTTTTGTGTTGTTATAAATGAATATAGTCTCCTGTGCACGAGTTTCTCAAAGATTTTGGATAGCAATGGTAAGTTTGATATTGGCCTAAAGTTGTTTAAGTCTGTAGGGTCACCACCTTTATGTATTGGTGTAACCCTTGCCATCTTGAGTAGTTTCGGGAAGGTGCTAGTTTCTAGTGACTTGTTAAAAAGTAATGAAATAGCATGCGAAAGGATATGGGCCGCTCGCTTGTACAGTAATGGTGGGACATCAGAGAGATTCCCTGAGTTGTTTTTAAGTGACTTTATAATCTCGGTGACTTCCGTGGGCTCAGTTGGTGCAAGAAAGAAGGAATTTGGGAAATTCCCATCTAGGTAGTCCCCGGCATGGGCATTGGTATGTGGGATTTTATTGGCGAGATTAGATCCTATGTTGAGAAGAAGTCGTTTATCTTGTTAGCTGTGTCAGTGGGATGTAGTGGTGTTTCATTAGGTTTAGTTAGGACAATATTCTTGTTTTTTTTTTCAGTTTGTGGGTCCCTAGAATCTGAGAGAGTGTTTTCCAGGTCTTTTTTATATCTCCTCTAGTGTCTGTGAATCTACTGGAGTAGTATAGTTGTTTGGCTTTCTTTATTACTTTGGTGAGAACTGATGAATAGTGTTTAAGAATATCTTTGTGTATTAAGCCCTGTCTATATTGCTTTTCATATTGGTGTTTCTTATCAATGGATTTCAGAATGGTGCTGGTTAGCCATGGGCAACCAAGCCGTTTGTTTGTGATCTGTTTCGTTTTTATAGGACAATGTTTGTTGTATAGTCTAAGTAATTTGTTAAGAAGAATGTCTGTCCAGTCATCAAGTCTACGGTGCCCATCACTTTCAAAACTCAGGGACTGATTACCTGGACTTCCACTGTCTTCTTTGCATATTTCTACAGTTTTCGTATCACGTCATCGTATCGTACTGGTAAAGCCACTGGATGACGAAATATCTACAATGTTGAAAACACCCAAATATTGCACACGCGTGTATCTAGTCGGTGCTCATGATCAGTGATAAGAGTTTGAAGCTGATAGGAAGAGGCATTATTATACAAAAAGCAATAAGTAAATTAAAGAAAATAATGGATTAGCTCACACACACACACACATACATACATTATGTATATATACATACATACATACATACATACACACACACACACACACACACACACACACACATATATATATATATATATATATATATATATATAATATATATAATATATATATATATATATATATATATATATATAATATATATATTTATATAAAACTTGCGATTTTGGGTTAAATAGCAACGCTCTTCTTGCCGAATAAGGCAAGCAGTAATTTTGCAAAAATCATTCTGAACCTAAAGAAAATATATTTCATTGTGTTTGTTTATTATTAAATTATTTTAAACTTATCTAAAATATATTTAGTTGGATTAGGCTAAACTAAATTGCGCTTGTTATAATAAGGTCAGGTAAGTTTTCTAAGGTTCTTTTTGGTACAAAATTATTAATTTTTATAGTAACATAAATGAAAAAAATATATATTTAAACATATTAGAGAAAATTTAAAAGAGGATTTAATTTTAAAAGAGGTCTTGCTAATTGACCAATTTCACCTATTCGGCACGACACACACACACGACCTGACGACAGTGGAGGACAGGAGAGATGGGGGGATATGATAACGACATATAAAATACTGAGAGGAATCGACATGGTGGACAGAGACAGGATGTTCCAGAGATGGGACACAGCAACAAGGGGACACAGTTAGAAGTTGAAGACTCAGATGAGTCACAGGAATGTTAGGAAGTATTTCTTTAGTTACAGAGTTGTCAGGAAGTGGAATAGTCTAGGTAGTGATGTAGTGGAGGCAGGATCCATACATAGCTTTAAGAAGAGGTATAATGAAGCTCATGGAGCGGGAAGAGTGACCTAGTAGCGACCAGTGAAGTGGCGGGGTAAGGAGCTGTGACTCGACCCCTGCAACTACAATTAGGTGAGTACAACTAGGTGAGCGCGCGCGCACACACACACACACACACGAAGTATATTCTCATACGTTCACAAAGTTATTATTATTATTATTATTATTAAAAATTCGCCGGTATTCTCCCGGCCCGGCCTTGGCTCCCTCTCTAGGGAGTGTCTGAGACCTAAGTCTCCCATGAGAGGAGACACAAGTACCCCCTCATCTTTGGGACCAACTGTCCCCAGGCCTAGCCACATTCCCCGCCCTCACGGGGCTCGTAGGGAGAAGCTAGGCCTCTGGTCTGCCATCCCCGCCCCAAGGAAGCTAATGGGAATGACAGTCTTGTGAGCTGCAAGCTCCGGCTCAGGCACCTACCCTACCCTAGAAGGGCTGGGCATGGTGTCGATCCTGGGCATTGTGTCGATCCTGGGCATGGTGTCGATCCTGGGCATGGTGTCCGATCTGGGCATGGTGTCGATCCTGGGCATGGTGTCGATCCTGGGCATGGTGTTGATCCTGGGCATGGTGTCGATCCTGGGCATGGTGTCGATCCTGGGCATGGTGTCGATCCTGGGCATGGTGTCGATCCTGGGCATGGTGTCGATCCTGGGCATGGTGTCGATCCTGGGCATGGTGTCGATCCTGGGCATGGTGTCGATCCTGGGCATGGTGTCGATCCTGGCCATGGTGTCGATCCTGGCCATGGTGTCGATCCTGGGCATGGTGTCGATCCTGGCCATGGTGTCGATCCTGGCCATGGTGTCGATCCTGGGCATGGTGTCGATCCTGGGCATGGTGTCGATCCTGGGCATGGTGTCGATCCTGGGCATGGTGTCGATTCCAAACTGATTATGTTTTATCGATGTCTTAACTGACTGCTTATACCATCATTATTATTATTATTATTATTATTATTATTATTATTATTGTTATTGTTATTGTTATTATTATTATTATTATTATTATTATTATTATTATTATTATTATTATTATTATTGTTATTATTATTATTGTTATTATATTATTATTATTATTATTTTATTATTATTATTATTATTATTATTACTATTATTATTATTATTATTATTATATTTCCTTAGAACTAAACCTTAGGACTTATTCAGTACCTGGGAAACGGAAGGTTATCATTTAATCGATCCAAAGAAAGACATAAATTATGGTAATTTGAGAACAAACATGGCGCTCAAAACTGAATTGTTAGGGGGATAACTAAACAAGTTAGGGGGAATAACTAAACAAGTTAGGGGGATAACTAACAAGTTAGGGGATAATAAACAAGTTAGGGGGATAACTAAACAAGTTAGGGGGATAACTAAACAAGTTAGGGGGATAACTAAACAAGTTAGGGGGATAACTAAACAAGTTAGGGGATAACTAAACAAGTTAGGGGGATAACTAAACAAGTTAGGGGGATAACTAAACAAGTTAGGGGATAACTAAACAAGTTAGGGGGATAACTAAACAAGTTAGGGGGATAACTAACAAGTTAGGGGGATAACTAAACAAGTTAGGGGGATAACTAAACAAGTTAGGGGGATAACTAAACAAGTTAGGGGGATAACTAAACAAATATTTTCAATATTTTTAGCGAGGGTTTTCTTAAATGGGAGAATCATTTTCGTGGATCACAGGTCCTTCACTAGTGTCAACACACTCACTTCCCCTCTAGAAGTGACCTTGTGTGTTATCATAGGTTAAGTTACTATGGATAACTAAAGTATAATGAACACTTGTCAGTACTCAATAATAACCCACATGATGACAGAAACTCAGGAGATTAATTAATCTGTATATTTCGACCTCCTTCTGGGATCCTCTTCAGCAGATACATGAATGAAATAAGGATAAGAATACGTAGGGCAGGTTACAGCTCGCCCCGTACAGGTGAGTGGAGAGACGTGTCAAGCAGTGGCTGGGTAGGTATAATTTTCGTCCAGAAACGGGACAAGTGTTTCCTGACGCGGGTCTTAGTCATATAAGGGCTCTGGTGGCCTGGTGGCTAAAGCTCTCCTTTCACACGGCCAGGGTCTGGGTTCGATTCCCAACCAGGGTAGAAACACTGGGAGTGTTTCTTTCCACCGGTTGTCTATGTTCACCCATCAGTAAAATGGGTACCTGAGTGTTAGTTGACTGGTGTGGGTCGCATCCTGGGACAAAAATTATCTAATTTGCGGGAAATGCTCAGCATAACAAGCGGCTTTCTATATAGCAGTATGTCACTGATGTCAGCTATGGTCTGTATACCTTGTACATGTACTGGTAGTAAATAAAGATTATTATTATTATTATTATTATTATTATTATTATTATTATTATTATTATAATGACCCACAGCTGGAGTTTTGGGTCAGCTGACCGAGGCCTTTCGCTAGTTTACCGCTCCACTCTTGAAATTTATGGTTATGACTGGGTGAGAAGACAGGTACTGAAGAGAACTTAAAATTTAGCCTCACTTCAGTACCTGTCTTCTCACCCAACCACTGCTTGACACGTCCCTCCACTCACCTGTACGAGGTGACGTGTAACCTGTTCTATATATTCTTGTTCTCATTTTATGTATCTGCTGAAGAGGACCCCAGAAGGGGATCGAAAGACACAGATTCATTAATCTTGTACGTTTCTGCTTTCATGTGAATTATTATTGCACATGTTATAATTCTTAACAATTCGCAAACGGGAGAAATTATTTACAAACATTATCTCTCAGTCCACAGCAGGATTCGAACCTGCACACTCTGCAACAAGCCACTCAGCCAGTGTGGCTTAGTGGCTTAGTACTGCATATTTTGATGCAGAGTGTGCAGGTTTAAATCCTGCAATGATCTGAGAGACTGTGTATATGTTATTATGTATGATAATTGAATTTATGTGTAAATAAACTTGATAATTAATGGATTGTGAGATTAATCTTGTTCTTCCATCTTCGGCAGTGTTCCCACTCCTGCTGGAGTTTGAGTTACGCTGGCTGATGGTCACCATGGCAGTGTGGGGCTGTGGTATAGGCACCACCATGGGCCTCTACACCTTGGTCATGATAAAGTTTATGGGTCTGGAGAATCTGGGGGCAGTATATGGAGCTTCAAGTCTCACCGTGGGCTTCGGCTTTCTCTCCATCGGTCCACTAATAGGTAAGTCACTTCGATTCACGCTAATAAGGATCGTTCTGAGTTTACCTCTCAGGCTTACGAGGTAATTTCTCCATTTGCGTGGACCCTCGAATTTAGTCCTGCCGTTTCTGTATGCAAAACTAATTTTATTATCTATAAAATATATTGTCTGTTAATATTTTTGGGTGTCTGGAATGGTTTAATTGGATTTACATTATTTACTATGGGAAATATTAACAAGAAATACATTTTATAGATAATAAAAATAGTTTTGCATACAGGAAAGGCACTACTAAATTCGAGGGTATTAATTTGCAAAATACACGGGTAAGTGGACACTACCGGCCCGTGGGGCTGTGTGGGTGTGGGCGAACATCTGTCATAACTCATATTATTAAATATATATGAAGAATTAAATCCCCGTGGGGTGGAAATGTAAGTCTGTGTTCCCTAACACAAGGCGGTAACTATATGAAGAATTAGATCCCCGTGGGTTGGAAATGTAAGTCTGTGTTCCCTAACACAAGGCGGTAACTATATGAAGAATTAGATCCCCGTGGGTTGGAAATGTAAGTCTGTGTTCCCTAACACAAGACGGTAACTATATGAAGAATTAAATCCCCGTGGGGTGGAAATGTAAGTCTGTGTTCCCTAACACAAGACGGTAACTATATGAAGAATTAAATCCCCGTGGGTTGGAAATGTAAGTCAGTGTTCCCTAACACAAGACGGTAACTATATTCTCTAAATCTAGATTTACCGTTTTTCCTAGTTTGTGAGCTAAGAGGTGTTAAAAAAGAATAACAGAACGGGTGGGATTTGAACTCATAACCAGTGAGTTAAGAGGTGGTGCTGTCCCGTAGCTCGGTTGTTAGCTTACTCAGTTCACACACTGAGGTCCGTGGGTCGATCCCCGGTACAGGTGGAAATATAAGGACGTGTTTCCTTAAGACACCTGCTGTCTATATTCGCCCATCAGTAAAATAGGTACCTGGGTGTTAGTGAACTGGTGTGGGTCACATCCTGGGTGTTAGTGGACTGGTGTGGGTCACATCCTGGGTGTTAGTGGACTGGTGTGGGTCACATCCTGGGTGTTAGTGAACTGGTGTGGGTCACATCCTGGGTGTTAGTGGACTGGTGTGGGTCACATCCTGGGTGTTAGTGGACTGGTGTGGGTCACATCCTGGGTGTTTGTGAACTGGTGTGGGTCACATCCTGGGTGTTAGTGGACTGGTGTGGGTCACATCCTGGGTGTTAGTGGACTGGTGTGGGTCACATCCTGGGTGTTAGTGAACTGGTGTGGGTCACATCCTGGGTGTTAGTGGACTGGTGTGGGTCACATCCTGGGTGTTAGTGGACTGGTGTGGGTCGCATCCTGGGTGTTAGTGGACTGGTGTGGGTCGCATCCTGGGTGTTAGTGGACTGGTGTGGGTCACATCCTGGGTGTTAGTGGACTGGTGTGGGTCACATCCTGGGTGTTAGTGGACTGGTGTAGGTCACATCCTGGGTGTTAGTGGACTGGTGTAGGTCACATCCTGGGTGTTAGTGGACTGGTGTGGGTCACATCCTGGGTGTTAGTGGACTGGTGTGGGTCGCATCCTGGGAACAAAACTGACCTAATTTGCGGGAAATGCTCAGCATAACAAGCGGCTTTCTATATAGTAGTATGTCACTGATGTCAGCTATGGTCTGTATACCTTGTACATGTACTGGTAGTAAATAAAGATTATTATTATTATTATTATTATTATTATTATTATTATTATTATTATTATTATTATTATTATTATTTAAAAGTATGACACTACCAGCTCTCAGAAAACTACCCACAATAATTTAATAACTTTGTATTGTTACGTTAGTTATCGTTGGTTATCGTATATGCAATTATCAATTATCAATTATCAAGGTTTATTAAACAAATGATGCCTTCCTTCTCTATTTTTTCGTGATCATTTTCTGGGTTTATGATTTCAAATAAAGGTGACCTGTATCTCAGCGGCAGAGCTTTCAGCTCACAAGCGAAAGGATTAGGGGTTCGATTCTCTGTATGGGCGAGACGTGTGGGTAGGTTTCCTGTAATCTGCTGCCCCTATTGAACAGCCAGTAAATAGGTACCTGCGAGATAGTAGGTTATTTTGGCCTTTGTAGTGAACAAAAGAAGAATATCACCTCTTAGCTCTGTAAAGTGAACCTTTAAAAATCTTCTGTAAACTGAACCCTGTTAAAAGCTGTGTAAAGTGAACCCTGTTAAAAGCTGTGTAAAGTGAACCCTGTTAAAAGCTGTGTAAAGTGAACCCTGTTAAAAGTTGTGTAAAGTGAACCCTGTTAAAAGCTGTGTAAAGTGAACCCTGTTAAAAGCTGTGTAAAGTGAACCCTGTTAAAAGCTGTGTAAAGTGAACCCTGTTAAAAGCTGTGTAAAGTGAACCCTGTTAAAAGCTGTGTAAAGTGAACCCTGTTAAAAGCTGTGTAAAGTGAGCCCTGTTAAAAGCTGTGTAAAGTGAACCCTGTTAAAAGCTGCGTAAAGTGAACCTTTCATAAAAGAAGGTTCTCTTGCAGTAGGGTTCAAACTTCCCTCAGCTTATCTCAGACACGAGTGACTCTAATTAGGCACAATAGTTTTACTGTTCAGTCTGTAGTCACGCATTTGAGATTAGAACTCTCCAGTTACCTGTTCACAAGTACCTACTTGTAGGTACCTATTTACAGTCTATCATATGTTGTATTGCAGGTCTGGTGCGTGACAGCAGTGACAGCTATGCTGTCAGCATGTGGGTGCTGTCAGGTGTCGTTCTGACCAGCTTCGTCCTGTGGCTCTTCATGCCGGCGGCCCAAGACTATGACCAGCGGAGAGTAACCAAACAATCTCAGAAAGAGGATCCAGAGCATTGTTGACCTTACTTTAATAATAATAATAATAATAATAATAATAATAATAATAATAATAATAATAATAATAATAATAATAATATCTTTATTTAGTACAAGTACATGGTATACAGTCCTAGCTGACAACAATGACATATGTACTACTATATAGAAAGCCGCTTGTTATGCTCCGCATGTCGGGCAAATTAGGTCAGTGTCCCAGGATGCGACCCACACCAGTCGACTAACACCCAGGTACCCATTTTACTGATGGGGAACATAGACAACAGGTGGGAAGAAACACGCCTAATGTTTCTACTCTGGCTGGGAATCAAACCCAGGCCCTCGCCGTGTGAAGCGAGAGCGTTAACCACCAGACCACCTGACCTGTGGTACTCTCTCAGTCGGATGTGGTCACCCTTACGTCTTCCTGAGTGAATATAATAATGGTATACAATACCGACAAATTGAAAAGACATGTGCAACAGTTAGGTATCTTTGTACCGAAACGTTTCTCCTACTTAGTAGGTTTTTTTTAGTCGAGTACAGAGGCAGCAGAAGTAGTAGAGATGTGAAGACGATGTAATCAGTCCATCACCCTTGAAGATATGGTTTTTCAGGTGGTCAGTCCCTCAGCTTGTTCCACAGTCTGGAACAATGTGAAGCTGATGTAACTGACCACCTTAAAAATATGTCTTCAGGGATGATGGACTGATTACATCGTCTTAATATGTCTACTGTTTCTGCCACCTCCTCTGTACTCGACTACAGAAGCCTACTGTGTAGCGAAACGTTTCGGAATAAACATAAGAACATAAGAAAGAAGGAACACTGCAACAGACCTACTGACCCATGCGGAGCAGGTCCATGTCCCCCACCCCCTCCGGATTAGCCCAGTGACCCCCCAGTCTGGTCACCTCCACTCAAGGAAGGAGCACGGCACCAGACCCAGCAGCACAAGCTAGTCAGGTCCAACTCACACCCACCCACACCCACTCATGTATTTATCTAACCTATTTTTAAAACTACACAACGTTTTAGCCTGAATAACTGTACTCGGGAGTTTGTTCCACTCATCCACAACTCTATTACCAAACCAGTGCTTTCCTATGTCCTTCCTGAATCTGAATTTTTCCAACTTGAAACCATTGCTGCGAGTCCTGTCTTGGCTGGAAATTTTCAGCACACTATTTACATCCCCTTTATTTATTCCTGTTTTCCATTTATACACCTCAATCATATCCCCCCTAATTCTACACCTTTCGAGAGAGTGCAGATTCAGGGCCTCAGTCTATCCTCATAGGGAAGATTTCTGATACATGGGATCATCTTTGTCATCCTCCTCTGTACGTTTTCTACGGTGACCAGAACTGAACAGCATAGTCTAAATGAGGCCTAACCAAGGATATATAGAGTTGAAGAACAACCTGAGGACTTCTATTATTTATACTTCTAGATATGAAGCCAAGAATTCTGTTAGCTTTATTGCGAACACTAATGCACTGTTGTCTTGGTTTTAGATTACTGCTAACCAGAACTCCTAAATCCTTTTCGCAACCAGTAGTATTAAGATCTACATTATTTAGTTTATAAGTCGCATGGTTATTTTCCTGTCCAACATTTAGAACTTTGCATTTGTCAATATTAAACTGCATATTCCACTTCTCCGACCATTGCATCAGTCTATTCAAATCATCCTGGAGTGCTCTAGTGTCCTCATTAGAATGAATTGGACGGCCTATTTTGGTCTCATCAGCAAATTTGCTTATGTCGCTATTTATTCCCCCATCTATGTCGTTTATGTAAATTGTGAACAACAACGGGCCCAACACTGACTCCTGAGGAACACCGTTTGTGACGTGCCCCCATTCTGATTTCTCCCCATTTATGCAAATTCTCCGCTGCCTATTTGTCAGCGATGCCTCTACCCAGGAAAAAAATTCTCCTCCTATTCCGTGTGCCTTAAGTTTCCTCAATAGCCTCTGGTGTGGAACTCTATCGAAAGCCTTACTGAAGTCCATATACACAATATCATATTCATTACCATGATCTACCTCCTCAAACGCCTTAGTGAAAAAAGTTAGTAAATTCGTAAGACAGGAACGCCCCTTTGTAAAACCGTGTTGAAATTCATTAATCAATCTGTGCCTGTC